TTTAGGTGTCTTTTCCAACCTTAATGACTCTATGATTCTGTGTTTCTACTGCCACGTGAGGACATTGGCCATGGTGGACTAGAGGAGTTGGCCAGTGAAGAGTCTGGGGAATTGGGTGTTTGATAGGAAGAGGGATGAGGGAAGGAGCATGAGGGTGAAATCCTTGTCTGTGGAGACATTGAGAAGCTACATATATATAGTACGTATATATAGTAGCTATATCTATATACATTTAATAAACAGAGAGAGATGCAGAGAGTGAAAAAAAGAGAGGGAGAAGATACACCAAGCTGAGTGGTGCAGTCGATACGGTGGAGGGAATGGAGGCCATTCAGAGGGACCTTGACAGGCTTGAAAGCTGGGCTCGGGTGAACCTAATGAGGTTCAATAAGGCAAAGTGCAAGGTTTTGCACTTGGGCCGGAAGAACCCCAGGCACCTGTACAGGCTGGGGGGAGTTGTCCTTGAGAGCAGCTCGGCAGAGAAAGACCTAGGGGTCCTGATAGATGAGAAACTTAACATGAGCCAGCAGTGCGCTCTGGCAGCCCGGAAAGCAAATGGGATCCTGGGCTCCATCAGGAGAGGGGTGGTCAGCAGGGATAGGGAGGTGATTGTCCCTCTCTACTCTGCTCTTGTGAGGCCCCATCTGGAGTACTGTGTTCAGGTGTGGAGCCCTCAGTACAAAAAAGACATGGAGATTTTGGAAAGGGTCCAGAGGAGGGCCACGAAGATGATCAGGGGGCTGGAGCACCTCCCCTATGAGGACAGGCTGAGGGAGTTGGGTTTGTTCAGCCTGGAGAAGAGAAGGTTGCGGGGCGACCTCATTGCAGCCTTTCAATATCTGAAGGGAACTTACTCCCAGGAGGGGAGTAAACTCTTCATAAGGGCTGATAATAGCAGGACACGGGGAAATGGTTTTAAGTTAAAAGAGGGAAGATTTAGGTTGGATGTTAGGGGGAAGTATTTTACTAGGAGGGTGGTTAGGTCCTGGAACAGGCTGCCCAGGGATGTTGTGGATGCCCCGTCCTTGGAAGTGTTCAAGACCAGGTTGGACGAGGCTCTGGGCAACCTGATCTAGTAAAGGTGTATGTTTGGTGGCCCTGCTAGGCAGGGGGGTTGGAACTACATGATCCTTGAGGTCCCCTCCAACCCAGGTCATTCTGTGATTCTGTGATTCTGTGATACACAAAGCACACACATAATATTTACATGTACTACCCAAATTCCCAAATGCAAGGAGGCCTTATTAAATCAAAAGTGAAGAGTTAGCTTTTGGAAAATACAGTGGAACAAATCAAATTGTCAGAAGCGTGAGATCCCCCTAGGCAGGAGCAGGCTGGGAAAAGCTTCCACTGGCATCTAGTGGTATGTTGCAGAGGCAGTCACTGCAGCCAGCAGTGCAGCTTCACCTCCAAAATGGGTCACTGTGGAGTAGCAGTTTCATTCAGACTAAAAGGGCACCACTTCCAAACTGGGAGTAGGAAGAGGCATTTTTGGACCCTAACCATGCCCCAATGACTTCAGCCATGAAGCCCTTTTAGGAGTGAATATGAGGGTCTCTGAGTCCATTTTTGCTAGCCCAAAAGCTAGGGCACGCCAGGGTGAGGTTGTTGATGGAGCTGATGACTGGCACCATCCAAAGAATATCCCAGTGCAAGGCAAGGTTAGGGTGAATGTATTATGGTAATGGGAAGGATGGGAAAGGGGGAATGTTGCCTAAGCAGTCCTGCACATGAGGGATCTTGCTGCAACACACCTGTGGCTTTCCATCATCGTCTGTCCTGCTTAGGACCTGCTGTGGTACAACCTCATGCATCAAAACAGAAGACTTAAGTAAGGCAAACTTGATGTTGGTGGTTTGTGCTGGGGTAGAAAACACATGAGCAGACTTTAACCAAGGCACATACAAGGTATAGACAGCTTCTGAACTCCAGGGGCCTTGCAACACAAAACTTTCTTGTGTGAGCTGAGCAGGCATCTCACCCTCCCCTGCCTCAGTTTCCCTAAATCAAAAAGCAGGAGAATAGGATGTTTGCAGCCTTGTGCCACCCATAAGACAGAGCTTCCTGCTGAGTCTCAAAACCTCTCTGCCAGGCAGAGCCAGGAGGGTCTGTGTGATTTCTCTGAGGTCTTGCTGAGCCTCAGCCTCACACAAGTGATGCTCAGTACTCTGCTAAATCACAGAATCATGTAGGTCCTAGTCCAAATGTCAGTTTGTGAGACAGGAGAAGCAATTGCTAATTCCCAACTGCTGTTGATATCTATCCATTTAAAATATGCAGATCTAAGATGAACATCATTACTTCTTAATAATTACTGCTATAATTAAAAATATTTTTGTGCAACTCAGTGTTGCATTAAAAAATGTCCTGAAGCACATTCCCTCTTTGATATTATTATATTTTGTTTAGCTGTTTTGTTAGATCATTCCTAAGTTTCAGATTCCAAACAACCCACCAAAATCTTGATTTGTTATCACATTAAGTATTATAGAATCATAGAATTGTTAAGGTTGGAAAGCCTTAGTTGGATCATCTATTCCAACTGTTGACCCATCATCACCATTATTGCAAACTTATATCTAGAAGTTAAGAATATATTGCTTGCAGGAACCTATCTGGTGACATTGCAGTGATTTCTCTGTCACTGCACTGCCTCAGCATCCACCTTGCACCACCTGCACACTCTTTGTGCCTTCACTGAGCAACACAAGGGCTGCTTTGCTGCTTGCAAGGCACGAGCCTTTCTGCTTCCATTCTGGGGGCTGCGAGCTGCTGCAAACAGAGAACCACTGGATCAATACATCCTCCCTCGTACAAAGCAAACGCTTTCATTCCAAAGCAGCCGCATCCTGACCGCGAAAGGGCAAGAACTACAATCCCCAGCAGGCAGCGCGGAGCTCCAGCCCTCAGCTTTCCTCCTTCCCCCCAAGTGCTGCAGCCAGCAGCGGGACTCACACGTGGGAATCCCACCCGTTGGCACCCCATCCCCTCGGCCCTTTGTTCAGTTCACCCTTCCTCCGGCAGCTCTTGCTGCGCTGCCCGCAGACTTCCTTTTGGTCGGCCGGGCTGCGGATGCGGGGAGGCAGCAGCACGCTGTGCCCTGGTTGCCCCCAGGGAGAGGGATGATGCCAGCCCCAGCCTGACAGCTCACCCAGGTAAGGTGCTTTTCTGACAGCCCATCTCCATCTATCAGGGTAGGCTGAGGAAAAGGCAAATTGGCTCTCGCTGGGATGCTGTCCTTGGTTGCAGAGCTGGAAGGAAAGGCGGGTTTTGGATTGGCAGGATCTGGATGCTTGGAAATAAAGAGAAAGGAAGAAAATAGGCAGGGATTTTTTCTTTACCGCCAATCCCAATGTGTTGCTTTTTGGCAGGGGTAACAAAACCCAGTGAAGTGCTGCTGCAGATTTCCTAAATATTAGAGGTCAGGGGCTGACTCTACTGCCTGCCCAGGGGGGGGGAATGGCCTTTCTGGGTAACAATGTGCTTTGGAACTTTTCTTAGCCCTCTTAGCAGCCTGGCCAATGCTGAGGCTTTGTCCGCTGGATTAAAATCTGTTGTTGGGTCAGATATCAGCTCCCCACCCAGGAGGGGTCCGGCCCCCTGGGAGCTTCCACACCCCCACTGGCAAGCTCTGGACCCGTGTCCTCCTCCAAGTGTGTATGTTTTGTCTCTCCTCACCCTAGAAAAGCTTGTAGGTGGTTGTTTTTTTAATATATTTTACTTTTTCTATCAGTTCTTCTGTCCTAGTCTGGCAAGTTCTGTCTGGACAGGAGCACCATTGTGCATCAGAGGTGGATCTTCAGACATCAGTGGGGATCCAGATGGATTTGCCAAAGGGGACTAAATTTGAAATAACTTTTCTCATTATATCTGCCCTCTGAAATAGCTGTCCCTCTTCATTTACCACTCTGAGACTTTCCTTTGAGGAGCATACAGCTACAATCTCCTCACCACCATTGTGTTGGGATGTCCACATGCCCAATCTCCCATTGAATCTCCTGATCCATGGCACATTCCTGCATCCCCTGTGCCTTGGTGGCCATCTCCCCAGGGACTCATCTTCCCAGTCACAGCCTCCCAGAACTTCAGGGGAGGTCTCACTGGCAACCCATGTCCTTGCTGGCAGCCACCCCATGACTGGTAGGTTTGGCAGCAGCACCTCCAGTATAAGCTTGGCCAGCCATATGGCTTTGTTGGCAGTCACCTCCAGCAACAATGTTCCTCCCCTCAGTCTTTCTTGATCTTTTCCCAGCTGGAATTCACAGTCTTGAGAGGAGATGCTGCTCACATCTGTTGGCCCTTCCTTTTGTCTAATGGCAACACACAGGATCCAGATCCTGCAGCATACTGACCCTTCTCTGAAGGGGACAAAGTCACTTCAGCTTTCTGCATCCCACTTCTCCAGATGTACGCTGAAGACATCACTGACCCCATTTCCCCTGTGCTTGTGCCAGCATAAAGCAGCAAAGCTTGTTTTGCGAGCAGTGCCAAGTTTGGTTTTCTTAGGTGTTTGGGGGAGAAATTGCAACAGCTGCATTGCAATAATGCAAACTGCATTACATTATTAATTCTGACTTAGAGGCGTTCAGTCATAATCCCACAGATGGTAGCCTCCAAATCTTGGTGAAAAGATAGAGAACTATTCTGAGAGTAAGTCACCAGTGCAGCAATAGAGCTGAAATCTCAGCATCATTCTAGCAATGAGTGCATGAATCCTTGCATTGCCAGGGGAAGTCAGCTTGTTCCTGATCTCTCTGTTGGAATCCTGTGGCTTCATATGTCCTAAGTTCAGTCTCCCATGGAACAGCTGAGGTGTGACCCATTGTGTTTATATACTGAACAAAGCTGGTGGAGAAGAAATAATGCCTTAATTTTCGCTTGATTTTTTCAGTCTGGCAATCTCTGGGAATTCCAAGAAACTCCTGCAGGAGATCAGAGAGGGCAGGAGATGAAGTTACAAACATTGCTTCTGCAGCTGAGTCAAAGGAGGCTGAGAAATGACGAAGATCACACACACCTCATTGGCCTTTCCCCTATGGGGAATAAAGCACGTCCATCAATATGTATGTCCTGATGGTTTCTGTGTCCTCCCTGACAGTCCGTCCCCATAATATCGTGGCCATGAAGGCCGTGGTGAAGCACGTGGTGAAGGCACACCTGTGCCAGGAGTGCGGCAAGTCCTTCAGCAAGAAGGGCAACCTGAAGAGACACCAGCGCATCCACACAGCAGAGGAACTCTTCTCTTGCGGGCAGTGTGGCCGACGTTTCACCACCCGGGGCCACCTGAGGACCCACCAGAGCATCCACACCGGGGAGAGGCCCTTCTGCTGCGGGGAGTGCGGGCGTTCCTTCCGCCTGGAGATATGCCTGGAGGCCCACAGGAAGACACACGCCAAGGGTGGGCCCTACCTCTGTGCCCACTGCGGCAAGAGGCTGAGCACAAAGATCTACTTCAACATCCACATGCGGACGCACACGGAGAAGAGGCCGTTCGCCTGCAGCGAGTGTGGGAAGAGCTTTGTGAAGAAGGGAACGCTCACGGCCCACAAGGAGATCCATAAGCGGGAGAAGCCCTTCCAGTGCCCCGAGTGCAGCAGATGCTTTGGGCAGAGTGCCACGCTGTTGGCCCACCAGAAGATCCACCTTCGTGGAGGGCCTTTCATTTGCACTGAGTGTGGGAAGAGCTTGAGCACCAAACGGTATTTCAACGTCCACCAGAGGAACCATGCTAAGGAAAAGCCACTCAAGGGACACATGGAAGATGCGTCTCTCCACGTCATACAGATTAAAGAGGAAACTGCCTTTAAGTCAGAAGAGAATGGGTTGGAGTGTGTATTTAACGAAGGACCTAACATCCCATTTCCAAAAAGCCCTCATTGGAAAATCCAAACAAAAGAGGAACCAGGACCACCCACCTACGACACAGAAAACATCACTGCAATAGCCTGCCAGAAACTTCACATCAAGGAAGAACCACAAGAAAACCTGGACTGTGGAATGCTCTTTGATCCAGTACTCTCATTGATGATTTTACAGGGAAGACGGGTTAAAAAGGAAAGGGATTCTGACGGGCAGCATGACCAAAAAGGTCCCATAGCTGGTAACATGGTGCTCCATGTGAAGGAAGAACCACAGAAGAGCACTGACAGTGAGATCCACTGTGGTCAGAAGCCAAACCTGAGTGCCATCCAAAGGATCCAGTCTGAAGAGAAAGCTGGTGTGGAGGATGACCACCAGGAGAGACAGAGCCCAGGGAGGAAGCTGAAGAAATGCAGTCAACCCACCAAAGAAGGGAACCAGGAGAAATCCACATCCAAGAAAGATCTCTCAACAAAACAAGCTTCCAAAGGTGAACGGATATTCCCCTGTCCCGAGTGTGGGAAGACTTTCAATCAGAAATCAAACCTGACCAGACACCAGAAGATCCACACGAGCGAGGGGCCATACAAGTGCACCGAGTGCGGGGAGAGCTTCCGCATGAACCGCAAACTGGTCCGGCACCAGCGAGCCCACATGAGCGAGCCTTTCAAATGCACCGAGTGTGGGAAGAGCTTCACCCAGCGCTCCAACCTGGTTCGGCATCAGAGGATTCACACCAAGGAAGAGCCCTACCAGTGCCCTGAGTGTGAGAAGACCTTCAACCAGAAGGCCAATCTCTTCCGGCATCAAACGATCCACGTCCGCATGGGGCCTTGCAAGTGCACCAAGTGTGGGAAATGCTTCCCCCAGAAGCGTCACCTCATTAAACATCAGCTGCTCCACTCCCGAGGTGGGGCCTACAAGTGTGGGGTCTGTGGGAAGCGCTACCGGCTGAAGAAGTATCTGAGGAGGCACCAGAAAATCCATTTGCGGGAAGGAGCTGGCCCCAGCATGAAATGTGGGGAGGACACAAGGCCTGGTGCTGGGTCTCACCCCACTGAGCAGAGAGCACTGGACCCTGCGATGAGTGAAGAGGAGAGCTGAGAGGATCTGGTTCCCATTCCTGAAGGAAAAATCTTTGAGAAATGGGGATGGAAACAAACTGATGTGCGTGGGGTGGGTGAGGTTTGAGGGAGCAAAGCACTGATAGAAACTGGTCCCATCCTGCTGCTTTCTGAGTGATCCCTCAGCATACCCTTTGCTTACAGCTGTGGGATGGGGCCGGACAACACAACTTTTCGGAGCACTTAGAGGTGAAGGGATGAGGCCCTGGCATCCTTGGTAATGGGATGCTTGTGCCTCTAAAGCCTGCCAAAATGGTGGAAGCCAACAATGTTTTGTGTGGGCAATGCGTGGCCAGAATTGCTGGGAGGGATTTATTTCTGTTATATCACAGTGCTTCTGAGAGAAAGCTGCTTCTCATCTGCCTGCTTCTCTGCCTGTCACTGTAAAGCATACGGTAGGATGCTGACTTTTCAGGGCAGTATTTGGGGAGTTCAAACCAAGTAGCAGGAATAGTTGAACAGATTTTCAGACTTTATGGGCTAGAAAATTGGAAAATATTTTCCTGTTGGGATGCTTTCCCTCCCTACCTTTCCCTGATTTAACGGGAACTGTGCAGCTACTCAGAAATATGGACAGTTCAAGAGTTTTTATTGCTGACTGCTAATGATTTTGCTGGAGGCTTTGAGCACCCTGACCTAGCTGTAGGTATCCCTGTTCATTGCAGGGGAGTTGGACTAGATAACCTTTAAAGGTCCCTTCCAATTCAGATAATTCCCTCACCAGAGTGTTCCTTGTGTCTGGAAAGTCCCTGATGAAGTGGAAAAGTAGAGTGAGCCCACAATCCCATGAGCCACTCCCCAAGATATCTTTGCAGTCCTGGTACCTGGCCATATGAGCGCTGACAGATTGAAAACACTTATTAGGGTTTGTTGTGTTGCTGTAATATGTATTCTAGGGAATAGAAAAATGTTCCACGTTGAGGAAGTATCTCTGCCTCTGGTTTTGTGCAGGTAGAGAAGTCCCTTACCCATTCCTAAAGCACAGACTTCCTCCTTCTCCCAGGGTGTATTGCAGGTGGCATTCTCTTGAAGGCACTGAAAGTCATCAGCATAACTTTGGGAAACTACTTGCAGTGACACTTCGGACCCAAACTGTTCATTGTCTGCACTGACTATTCTGGAGCAACTGCCTCCAGGCAGGGAAATGGAGACACAGATGTTGCAAAAAGTGCAACAGGACAAATAATGTTTGAGCTTTGCCTTTCCCAACTGCTTGGACATCACTGTGCTGTGGTGACTCAAGGCCAACACTGAGTACAGCTGCCAAATCCCAAAAGCACAGAGTAACTTTCATGTCATCATCAACTGTAGACAAGTTCTCCTTCAACTACCTCTGGCCTGGTGAAGGTTCATTTCTGGGCAGAAAAGGCAGATATACCAGAGAAAACAATTTTGGGGTTTTTTAGGGGTATCTGAGGTCACCCTTGTTATGGCAACGGTTCTGGGCCTTATGGTGGGTAGGTGCACCCTTCAGTGCAGGGCTGGGAAACTAATGTTCCTCAGGAAGAATGTGGCTAAGCCAGCTAGAAAAGCAAAACTGCTTCTGTTGGGCCTGCTGAGGGGCAGATAGAGCAGAGCTTTTCAGTGAGGAGAAAGTAATCACCAGATGAATTAATTTATTTCCTTTTTATTAGTCTAGCATGATGCTGTAAAGATTTTGCCAGTGAGAGGAAGTGGTGTGGGAGGTTTGCCAGTTGTATTGCTGAGACCTTTGACATACACAAAGAAGTGAGCCAATGTCAGTAGCCTTTCTGGACATCCCTGGATCTTGCACCATTCACCATGGCCTGTGTGGGTGTTGCAACTTCTGGGGAAAATCAGGGCTGATAGTTTGTATTCTCAATAAAATAAGTAAAGAACAAAGGCAAACAAAGTGAACCTGTTTTCTGTTTGTGGTTTTCATTTTGTCAGCTATCACCAAGAAAACCACACTACTACTATCCACAATGCAACAGGTAAAGCTGCCAGGGCAAGAGATGGAAAAGTGATAAACAAGTGGAAATGGTTGATGAAGATGAATATGCTGACCATATTGACCATCCCTCCACCAACCAGATGGGGGCTCAGACCCTCACGTAGAGACCTGGGGCTCCAGCCAGCGATCCACACATAAGTACTGTGTGAAGTGCTCTAAGGTATCTGCACATTTATGCCCTAAATATGGTTATTTTCATCTGTGATCCAAACTCCGTTCTTAGTGTCCCACTTATGGATGCACAATGCTGGAAGGAAAGACTTCCTTGGGTACCACCAGGATCTGCCCATCGTAGGGACATGACATGATAGATTCCTCAAAGGACCCCTTCAAAGAGATGGCTCACAGACAGTTTGGATTGCCAGGTCTACTGTCTGCTGCTAATTGTCATGTTAGGTGCTTGGATCAGGACCATGGAATAATTAAAGCTCTTTGAGGGAAAATGGACTGGACAGTGCCAAATCCTTTCCCATCCGGGTAGCAAAATACTTCATCCTTTTCTCCTTGAACTCATTAAAAGAGACCATGATACTAAACTGCTTAAAATCATTGCCTCATTCTCCACTGCACAGATTTTATGCAGAAAACCACACTGGCGAGTGCTTATTCACTGAGCAGTCTCAGTCACCACATGAATAGGATCCTCACAAGCTCTGATTTTGCCATCATGGCCAGGCTGAAGCCAGAAGAATGAGATCACAGTCGTGTTAAAGGACAGAGATCCAAGCTTTGATAAAAAGAACTATTCCAGCGTTGCACAGTGGGACAGGAAATCTTGTCTTGAGACACTTGCTACAATTTTTATATCCATGTACATTTCTAATGGGTTTTTAGGAGGAATTTAGGAACTTTTTGAACTTTACAGTGACTCACTGACTATCTGTGTGTATCATCTCAGTGTCTCCTTGACTCCATGGAAGAGAGAGGAGACAGTCTGAGATGGAGAGCACTTCCACGAGAGTGTGTATTTTGTGCTGTGCATAGAGCCAATTCGTGCTCAGCATGTTATGATGTGGTGGGAATGAGAGGGTCTTTGGCACCAGAGCAAACATCTGCTTGGACATAAGTATCCTGGGATGTTTACTTGTCTTTTGAGGACGTGACGGTTCCCGTGAGAACTTCCTCAAGAATCTCAGGCTGCAGGGAGCCTGGTGTCCCCACTAACAGGGACTGAGGAGAGGAAAAGGATCAGAGTGAAAACTAGGTGAGCAACAGGACATTCAGCATCACACATTTCCACAAATCCCTTCTCTGTTCACAGAGCAAACAGCCTCCATGAGGACATGGTCAGTGGGCATGGTGGTGATTGGACTAGATGATCTTAGAGGTCTTTTCCAACCTTAGTGACCCTATGGTTCTATAATATTTACATCCCATCAGCACCTTGGCCACTTTTCATCCCATCCAGGTGCAGAGCAGTGCAGCCAGGTACTGCCATATGGAGCCACGTTATCAAAGAGAACTGCCCATAGCCAACGCCCATCTGGAGCCATGTACTCATCCATGTCTGCCTTAAATAAAGGGATCCTGAGATTTCCTAAGTACTTGAATTAAAATGGATAGATGAATATGGGGAACAAGTGCTTCTGATGGACATAGCAACATGCACGTTCCTAAGAGTGCAACAGCAAGGCTAGGCAGTGTGTAAGATCAAGTCTGTTGTATTCCCATGGTTGGTTGCAATCACAGTAGCCATCAGGAAAGAAGAAGGGAGTAAAACACTCTCTCCTTCAAAAGATATATATATGTACATATATAACCATTTAAAATGACAAAACTTGCAAACACTATGAAGCAGAGGCCAGAGCAAAGAGGATGACATGATGCCCTAGCTGATGGGTTCAGAGTTGAACCCATGAACTTCCTCCAAAAGAACATATCTGGAGATTAAATTTCTCCATCTTTGGCACCCTGTAAATGTGCTGTAAATTTCAGCCTAATTTTAGATATGAAGAAACTGAGGCAAAGCTTTGGATCCATACAAAATCCCACCAGCAACCTACATCAGATGCACACCCACATCCTCTTCTGATTCTCTATCTCATGCTTTGAAATAGCTGTGGGATCACCTCACCTGAATAACGATGTCAGGAGACCTTGCTTTGTTGTTGTGTGAGTGGCATCAACAAGCACACACTCAAAATCATACAACATACGGAACATAAAGCGTGCAGCCATCAGCACATGTTGAACTCCTTTTTTACATTTTACCATTATTTTAATAGCAATAATTAAAAGAAAAAAAGCAAATAATAATAATAAAAAACAACCGGACTACATCTGGATGTGTAATTCAAAGAAGCCATGGGCAGTTCTCCAGCCCTGAGGGCACCAACCTGACTTGCATCCACTCAACTGAATTTCATTCTCCCTGGAGGTGTCCAAGGCCAAGTTGGATGGGGGCAGCCTGGTCTAGTATTAAATGGGGAGGTTGGTGGTCCTGCCTGTGGCAGGGGTTGGAGCTTTATGATCCTTGAGGCCCTTCCAACCCAAGCCATTCTATGATTCTATGATTCATCTCTGGCCCCAGCTCTGCTCAAGTGAAGAGCTTCAAGTATAAACATGAGTGTTGAGAAAGCTGTGCTCAGGTGCCCAAGAACGCCACCATTTGTTTTGAAGACATGGCTTAGGTTTTCCATCATCCTGAATTAGAGCACATCCAGCAGCCTCCAAAAGCTCCAAGGCCTGCAGTGTGACCTAGACTGGCAGAAAACAGCTTCTACTGTGATTTTTTGCACCATCATCACTGCTGTTCCTGCCCATAGCCTAATCCACTGTCATGATAACTACAGGAGCTGGGGCTTGCAATAAGACTCACAGCCACGTCAAGAAGACAATTTTCTTGGACTCACTGGATGGAGATGGAGACCCCTCCATCGTGTCTGGCAGAGGACAGAGAACTGGTGCTGGAAGTAGCACTCTGCTTCTTCCTCAGCAAATCACAGAGTCATAGAACAGTTGGGTTGGAAGGGACCTTAAAGCCCACCAAGTCCCAACCCCTGCCA